CTTGGTGTAAGTCACTACCCATTAAATGTTATATGAACATTCACCTAACACAAATTTAGACATGTTCCATGGCACCACGCGAAGGAAACTCCATTGTCAAACATGGTGTTCTTGATGAACGTCTCAATGTCCATGGTGTCAAGGGTCTTAAGGTCGCTGATCTTTCTATCTGCCCTGATAATGTGGGATGCAACACCTGTACGTTTTTCTATTCAACCAAACAAATGAACATCAACTAACTTGCGACAGTCTCAACTGCTCTTCTCATCGGAGAGAAATGCTCTATGTTAGTCGCCGAGGATCTCGGCTATAGTGGTAAGGCTCTTGATATGAAAGTACCTAACTATCATGCTCCGGGCGAGCTGAGTGCTATTGCTACTTCTCGTCTTTAATTTCGTTCTTTGATGGAAATGTGAATATGAGGGAACGATCACAATTTTTAACTGTTCTTTTTATTAATGCCACTCATTCAAGGTTAATAGCGTTTTGGGTTGTTATTTGTCAATATATTTTAGTGTACCTAGTTACGATTTAATAAATATTTTTAGTTTGAACAAAGAATTAGTCTCTGAGTTTCGTGTCATGTATCAGTAACAGTTCAAGATCAATTTTTGTCAATTGAAGGCATAATTATCTGTAAAGACGCTTTGACAATGGCCCATAACGAATAGATCGTATCAAGAACGGATCAAAACGAGTCAAATCCAGTTATTGCATTGCTGTAGTTATCCATCTAATCCGAGTGTACCTTTTACCCCAAATCAATTATCAATTCTACCATTTTTCCATCCAAAATCTCTTTCTATCACGCCTCGATGGCCTAGTGGCATGCTGAGATCAAGCGCCAGCACCGATAGATCCAACATTTGCTGTTTCTTTCAACCTATCCGCTAGCATATCATCCAAAGGCTTCAGTGCATCATCCAGACTCTTAGTATTCGAGTTCTCAAGAACTGATTTACCAGCTGTCATTACTAGACGTTCAGGAGCTGGCTCTTGGAGATACGACATTACGCGTGCGCGATGAGCTGCTCGAAACAACTAGTGGTGATTTATCAGCACATAATCCCCACAAGTAGAAGTAACTGAATGGAAATTGATAATAGACAAGAAATACACACCTTCAACTGACTGACCATCTTTGCGAACTCCTCTTCGATTTCCCTTTCTCCTTTCTCCCTCGCCCCCTTCACAAAACTATACTTCTTAAGCACTAAACACAATTCTCGCTGTCTCGCCGGTATATATCTCTCCATATTCTCATCTGTCAAATATCTCTTCATTCCCAAAAATGCATCTAGAGCTTGGAAGAACAAAACATGGTTTCCAGAAAGTCCATCGTATTTCACATATTCCCCATTGACGATTTTCCCAACGCCCCATCCTTGAAACCCCTGAACGTAGGAAAGCCAGACGGAATGAGAGACGCGGGACTTGGTGAGGTTTTCGTAGAAGACGAGGAAGAGATCGCGGAGACGTGTGTTGATGGTGCGCAGGTGGGGGAGGCAGGTGCTGGCAGAAGAGGAGTTGTAGGATAGGACTGAGAGAACCATTTCGTGGTAGATGGGGAAAGCCTGAGAGAATTATTAGTACTACATGAGAAGATTAGGATGGATGATGGAACTTACGACAACTTCAAGGTCATAGAACATTTGGAAGAAAACTTCCTCGGATGATTGGATCAATTCGGACATTCCGACGTTGATTCTATAGATCCTTTCTCCTCTCGTATTAAAGTTGAGCAAGACGTTTGATGTATTGTTTCCTGCATCGGCATCGACACCGAAGTTTCGCTGAAGATATGGCCACGGCGCGTCGAGTTCGGATGGGAACTCGACGATTTTCTCTAATTGTGCTACTTTGACCACAGGAATGGTTGCCCATCTGAGTTCGTATCAGTATACATTCGCTTATTGGAAGGGATACCACATACCTGTATGCATGACGACAAACAGCAACATAGCAATAGAAACCATTGTATGCATCTCTGGGAAAGAGATCCCAATTACCAGCTTCAACTGCAGCCATGATGGCCACAACTTGGGGAACATTGATCCGCTCCATCAACGACTTGCGCATCATAGATCGATATTTTTCGCGTCTTTCATTATTGGTATCATCATCTAGCGAAGGCGGAGCCGCGGACAGAAGCGGAATGAGCTGGAAGTAGATATCTTTGTATGGACGAAGAGCCATGGGCCACGAATCATGATTTGCATTCGGTGGCCAAGCTCCTGCACCGTCCTCATCAACTAGTCTTGACATAACAGCGGCCAATTCATGTTGATCTCGTAGATTTCTCAAAGCTTGATATTTTGAGACATTCTCGTTCTCGTCGATCTTTTCCTTCACTTTGGTTTGGATCGGGACTATCACTGGTATCGGGACTTTAGCTCGCGTGCTGTAGATTCTGATTAAACTTGCCGAAGCAAAAGCTAGGGTAGACGCTAGAGCACCTATGAAGAGGATCAATTCAAGCATCTTGCAGAAAGTTTTTATGGAAACCCCGTTGTTGAATATTGGAGTATCCTTGTTGAAATGAGTTTCGAGAAAAGGTAATTTCAGAACAAGATTGGAACAGGATTTGTTAGAGAAGGGCTGAAGATTAATGTTATTCCAGTATAGTTTACAGAGTCCAGGTTTTATACTGGTCTACAAGCCTCATCTTGCACGATTGATAAAATATTCGCGTAAGCCCCTTCATTGACGACGGTTACGTGTAACTACAAGTTATTTTTTTGATTGGGTCGAGGAGAGGGGAATGCCTCAATGAACACAACATAAACTTGGCTGAGAACTTCAGTAGATAGCACAGCCTTGACCGGAGAACTCGTACATCTATCCATTAATCATAGTAGGTTCCCCGCAAACCGGCGAGAAGATTAGTTGATACGGCAGCCCTAGCTGGCACCATGTCTCAACTAAAACGCGACATATCGTACGCATCTCTGGAAAACTTAAGATGGCACGATAATCCTGGGAGTAAGCTTATTTTGAACACCCGTTCTGACTGCCAGAAATCCACGTGGAGGCGAGAGCCGTTAAAATTTAGCAACGTCATTCTATATAACCCAAGTAAACAGGTAAGCATGATCCATATACATGGTAGGTTCTATCCCACATGGGCCGAGTGCCATTCTATGATCGTATTTGCTCCTCTCATGTGAGTAGAATGCTTCAATATGTTTCAAGATAGGAAAATTGACGCCTCCATGGTTTCTTTTGGTGTAAGAACTTACCCAACAGGTCTATGAGTCCCTGATATATGCATTGAAGAAACGTCGGCTTATGCTTAACTTAAGCCACAAAGGGTCTGAGAGGGTGGAAACTAATGCCACCATACCAGATAGCTACTGCAACAATGTGAAGAGACGCCAAAATATATGATGTGTCATAAACATTTCTGAGCGAGATATACACCAATCAAGAGTGTACAGGTAAAAGTGTCAGTATATTTTGTTTGTTACTGCGCCCAAAAAATCCAGAGACGGGTCGATTCTAGGTGACATTGCCTGTGCTGCTTGCTCATCTATTGCACCGGAAGACTTCGGGCCCGTATGGGCAAGATGATAGTTTTGATCGCTTAACAAAACCCCATCATTTTCACCATCAAGCAGTTGCTCATTGGGAAACAACCGGTATGAATCAATGCACTCAAATTTGCTCCAGCTCAGGATACACATTTGAGCTGATGCCCAGACAATTGAGCCTCACCCAAAAAGTTCTCGTGTGAGATTTGACTTCGGGTTTGTAAGGCGCTGAAACCAGCACGAATGAATAGTTTGCAAGTGTAGGATTAGCAAGCACAGAAAGGAGTACGCGTCGCATATGAAAAGCCGAAGATACTCGGCCAAGAGTGAGATGAGATCCTTCAAACAACCCATCCACTGGTCGAAGTGCGAAGGTGTCATTTTCATCGATGCCACGTTGCCGATCATTGCTTGATGGCTTCCAGTGACATCCTTGATATCATGAGGTCTGATCGACGGCATGAGTGTCTATATTTATGTCAAAGCTTGGAACGTAGGTACAAGTCCTGGGTGAAACAAGGGATGAACGATAGATCTCAGACAGCGTTCAGACAATGGACTCGGTAGGTGCCGAGAATTGAGTCTCCTCGGGCATGACAATGCAAGCTTATTTGCACCAGTACTCCGATACTTTGCATGGATGAGACATGCTATATGCATTGAAAATCACGCACGCAGGCTCAGCCCTATTTGATGATCACATCTGCCCTGCTTATTGGATCGACTAACAGGTGACTCTTCAATCCTAGTGCAGTTAGTTCTATAGCAATCTTTTTGATCTGTTCAAATCTCAGGTAAACAAGATTTAACGGTGCATCTTCTTCATGGTGGGCTATAGCGATTTCCTCGCCTTCATCATTTCAACCTAAATTAGATAGGTATATTGATCCTAATCAGAGTTACAGTCCCACAACTGCGCTGAGCGGATATGCAAGTAAGAGGCTCAAGCCGTAATCGGGTAATCAGAGTTGTTTATTTTGTGGTAGACTTGGTTGGATAGTGTTTATAATGTTGATGACGACTGAGATGTTTGGGTTTCGATAGAGGATGACCCGATACCGGAGGTACTATCACACGAGCTGACCAGGCAACCCTAAATTTCATTTGGAGGTAGAAGATAATGCGAGAAACGTACAAGATCGATACTGCTCAATATCGAAGGTCTAATTCGGTATACTCCAGTTCAAAATTCGGCTACATCTAAAGCCTAGTGAATAATTGATTGCCAATATTTTGCGAATTCATACACCGTGTAAGTATGATGTATCTAAAAGCAAGAGGTATGTTCTGGCTATTTTTGAGGGAAGTCTATGTGACAATACTACAAGCTACACATACTTGGAGATAGTAGCTGTATGGTCAAGCGGCCTGAAAACAATGAAAATTCAAGATCCATCAGGAAAGAGTGATTTGTGACGGAATAAAGTAGTTATAGAGCTATTTTTGTGTCTCAAAATACCCTCCCTATAACTAGGGCTTTCTTGCAATAGTGACGGTGTACTTCTGGTACAAGCCCTCCTCAGAATTGATGTCATGGAGACATGCTCTGGTCAATGTATCCAATTTCTCTCCACTTATGCCAATAGCTCCAAGCATTTTACCAAGTAACTCCGGATACTGTGGTATCAATTTAGCTTGGACATACCTCGCCATTGCTTGACTTTTAGGCGTTTTGCTTGACGCCGAAAATGAAAACTCAAAACTTTGGATATTGATCACCTCCAAACCACAAGCTCTCATTATCGCTGCTGCTCCAGAACCAGAAATTGTCGACAGTCCGGACTTTTGAGCTCCGGATAAGATTGCTTTGTGCCACTCCCAATCATCGCTCACACACTCTGCGGTCCCGACGCGATAAAATTTCCAGTCTAAATCCTGATGCTCAATTATGCCACCAGACCTCAGCGCATGTGACGTGGTTGAAAAGTACTTTGGCCAATTGTTGATACCTAAGAAAAGCATGCGACCGAAGATATAATCCAATCCTTCCGGTTTGAATATCTCACGGCTTAGGATACCATCATCGGGTTGGTTGTAGTCAACATCCAATGCATTTCCTTGAGCCCAGACCACGTTACCCGGTGCCATTTTCCTTGACTCCTCTGGGACTGGGGTTAGGTCGAGACCGTAAATGGTGGCAGATGGTAAGATTGTAGCAATCTGGATGGTCGCCACACCAGTACCACAGCCAATACTAGGCCACCCAAAAATCAGCAATTGCATAGAATTCTTCGTGGCATTGTGTAGTGACTAGGGAGAACTTTATGAAGCATGCAAAGAAGTCCCTCAATCGGCTCGTTTGTAAGTTAAGAACTGATTATACTTACTCAACCACCTTGGAAATATTATCCAGTGTCTGCAATGGAGCTAAGAGAGGGGAGCCACCAATCATCTCGACAATGGCAGCTGCTTGAGTATCAAGTCGATCTTGCTCAATGACACTACAGTAATGATTTTAGTACAGGTTTCAGTGATTGAAGACAATGCGCCTACTCGTTTGCTTTTGGGAGCACGTAAGCCGCGGTCGTGTCATGATAGCGCTGTTGGCCGTCAACTTTAACTGTTGCCATGTTGTAATTGCGATCTGTGGTACTTTGGGAGAGTGATAATCGATCAGTAAATTGAAATGAAATCAGTTGCGTTCAGGATTGCTCGTTTTGCAAGACAAATCTTGTCATATTGTATTTGAAGGAGCTGGAGTTGATACTCGAGACTCCTCCCACGGCGGGCGTGATGACATGAGATACTGCATCCTTGTCGTGTAAGAGTCAAGACAGGTTGATCACCGTGTATGCAGATGTGTATGCAGATATGTTGTATGTCGTTTGAATTATTTAGGAATGTGGAAGGTCTGCGATTTGCTTGGCATGAGGTTGTGGGAGGTACTGAGGCCGATTTGAATCATTTGGCACAAACCCCAAAAATAAATTTCTGCCTAATGAAAAAAGAAATTTTAGAATCTATATAATATATTTCTAGAAATTCTATAAAAAAGGATAGAATTCAATCTTATTGGAGATTTTTTATAACAAAAATTATATTATTGAATAGCTCTTAGAGTTAACTATATTTATCTATTTTTAGAATTCATTTCAAAACTTTCTATAAAAAGTATATCAATATTTAAAATCTATTTTCAAATAGTTTTCCTTTTTGTATATAAACTACTCTAATATAAACAAAATAAATTTAATAATAATTCCTTATCTCAAGCTCGAGCTCAAGTTTATTTTACTCAAATTATATAATTAATAAGCAGAAATTCCTTATTTCGCTTAAACTATATAATTAATAAACAGAAATTCCTTATCACACTTATCTTAAACCTAAACTCAAACTTATCTTACTTAAATTATATAACTAATACCATTCCCAATTAATATATATAATATTAATATAAACATTCAATTCAATATATAACCTTAAAGGAATTTATTATTTTTATATAAAAATAATAATACATCTTTTTATATATATATATATATATATATACAATTCTATATTCATATACTATACTAAGAGCGATTCACAGGATCACATAACCAATCACGTAATCGTTGCTTATAAGCTTCCGAAAGCGACCATACGAAAACGACCGTATTTAGCTTCCGAAAACGATTATTATTAGTTTCTGAAAACAATTATATTAGATTCCGAAAACAACTATTAATAAAGAATAAGAAAAGGAGCTTTATTTTGAAAGGAATAACCAAATTAGAAAGAGATCTACAAAAGATAAACAAAAGCGGAAAGCTAGATTAGAATGAAAAAGATATATAATATAGACTTTTTCCCTCTTAATATAGAATAAGAAATTCAATATTACAATATAGATTTCTAAATATCACATGTTTTCATTGCTTTTTAATTATTAAACTAAGCTAGCTTCCCATAATAGATTAATATTAATCTAATCCCTTTTATATTCTATATATATACTCTATACCCATATATCTGCTTATGATCTATAATAGATTATAAGCCTGGTATCTTATATCTATAATTAAAATACAAGCTTATATATGTCGATATTCGATTCGAAAAAGCAAGGAAAGGGTTGTATGATTGAAAAACAATCGAAAAAGTGATTGAAATCCGAGCATTCATCAAATTGTATCTAAATTCGTGTCTAATTCTATTAAGTTAACACATATTCACTTAATTCAAATGTTATATACATTACCTAAGTGTATATATACGCTAGTACAAGTCTATATCGATCCTGAATCCCTTTTCAAATCCTTAGCCTATATATATATACATTATATTATATTCTTGTTATATTATTAGGTAGTATAAATAAGAAAAAATACTATATTACATTAAACATACTAATATCAATATTATATATATACTATACCTTACTGCTATTAGTATACTAATATATACACTACACCTTACTACTGTAGGCATACTAGTATTAATAATACACTTTACTGGAGGAATATGATAAATTACTGCCATACGCATATCATATCGATACTACACATTACCAAATATACATCTAATCCTAAACCTAACCCTTTCTATATGTTATTGGATATAATAAAATTGAATATTATACTTCACCAGAGATATAAAACTAGTTATTGTTTATATATAAACCATTATCAAACCATATAACTATTGATCTATATATATATATATATATACAAACCCTTATCAAACCATCAAACCCTTGTTGATTAATATACACTTTACTTATACTATTGAACTATATATATATATGTATATATATATATCATATAGAATTTGCAGACGAAGATATATTTATAAGAATAACTAAAAGATTTTAAAAGTTTCAAGATAATAGAAAATACAAAATAATTCAATACGAAAACAAGAAAGAAACTAGGAATAATAGCAACTTCCTTATGAAACTACAATTTCAAATAATAGTTCAATATTATCCAATAATATAAAAAAACAAAATTCAAGCCGAAATAAATTAATTAAGTATTGAAGATTCAGTATATAGCTATACAATATATTATAACTATAAAAATACTATATATTCAAATCCATCATTCGCAGAATACACTATTTGGTTTTTATATTATATATAGAACACTATAATATATGATTATATCAATCCAAACTACAATCTAATCAATTTCGAAATCCTAAACATTTCTTATATATCGAATTTAACTCGAAAAAAGAAGACTACTTTAACTAGAAAAAAAATCCCTTATTTCTATATAAATACTATAATAAATACTAAATAAATATATCATATACATCTATTTATATATAAAATTAATACGAAATTACCCTGAATGGTTGATAAAAGGATATACGAAAAAACTAAATAATATAGAATATAATATTATCTAATACGAAATAAGGAGGGAATACTATATAAATAATAGTAATCTATATAATTATATTGTTTATTCAATAAGGGTTACATATCAATCAATAGAAGAAGGGATTGAAAATCCAGAAGATTTTATTTATAGCTTAACTATATTATATAATTATAATAAAAAAACTATTAGTAAAAACCCTAATCTTACTATTAAAGAATTCTGGGATTCGATTTATATTTAAGACGTAATTATAAAAAAAGGCCTAAATTCGAATTCAAATTTAATTCTTATTAAAATTGAAGACCAAAATATCGATTTAATATTCAGATTAGCAAAAAGAAAGGTTAATCGATTAAGATTACTAGAAATCCCTATATTTGGTAATATAATGTATATTATAATATAATTATATTAATATAATAAAAGATATTAAATATATTAATTTCTTTAGTCTACTTTTGTCTATATCCCTGAAATTAAATTTAATTAAAAAATAAAATTAGGTTTTTAGAAACTATACATATACATATATATTATCCATAGCGAATTATATAGTATTATATCTTATATAAAAATGCCCTAACTTAAATAAACTTATATAAAAAGGTTTATATAAGTTTATATCAAAAGGTGGTAGTTAAATACTAAATTACTTTTTGAATTAAAGCTTTATAAAAACTATATAAAGATTTTAATTCTATAGTATTTATTATATTATAATAAAATATTTATATATATTATATAAAAATGAATATAAATCAAGAAATCAAATATATTGGCTCTAAGCTAAATAATCGATCTAATTATATAGAATAACATTAAAAATCTAAGTTCTTTTTAAAGGCTAATAGGTTTATACCCTATATAAACAATTCAGAAAAAGGCCCCGAAAGAAAATATTATTTTAAAAACAATAATATACCTATTTCGAAAGAGATTCACCTTAAATACAGCGAAAAATTAAAAGAATATAAAAATAAATCCAAAAGAGCTCTAATTATATTAAAATCAATAATATCAATAAATCTAGTTGATAGATTTAAGAATAAAATTAATCCAATAAAGCTTTGAGATATTATAAATAAAATTTATAATGAAACTTCTCTCAATATAATAAAAAGATATTTTAATAAGCTAATAAAATCAAATTATAATGATTTTAATAATATAAATAAATATATAAATTATATATTCTTATCCTATATATATTTAAAAGAATTAAAATTTGAATTACAAAAAGCTTATATAATATGGATTATATTTAATGGTCTAAACAATTTGTTTGATTTGTTTAAATCAAAAAAAACTAAAAAACTCTCGAAAAACTTAAATAATAATAATAATATTGTAAAAGAGTGGAAGGTGGTAGGGTCATAAAGTAGTCCTTTGTAAATACTACAGATAAGTTACTGAGATGTAGTGCCTTTGGTGGAGGAGAGGAGGAGTAGGTACTACATAGCGCGTCACAAAGCGTACGAGAAGGTGGATGGGAACTGACTCCTTTTTCTAAACTATACAAAGAAGACCTATAAATACTAGCTACAGAAAGAGGTCACGTGACCAGTACCAAGTTTCGCCCACAATATTGATTTAGATAAACTAATATCTGAATTAATATTTAAGGAATCTAGAATGAAAGGTTTTATAAAATCTAATAGAATAATAAAATTACAAAATACTATTCCAAATTGTACTTTTTACAATAAAAAGGGGTATTTAGAAAAAAAATACTTTAAAAAGTACCCAGAATTTTATAATAAAGATTATAAAAGATCTAAAAACTTATTTAAAAACAATAAAAAATCAAATAAAAAACTATATAAAATAATTAAAGAATTAAATAAGCTTAAAAAGTCTAATAGGATTAATAAAAATAATAAAAAGATTAATCAAAATCAAAATAAAAATAATAAAAATTCTAATAAAAAGAATAAAAATTATACAGAAAGCTCTAATATTGAAATAAATCAGGTTTCTCCAGTAGACTATAATATAACATCTAGTTCTAAATACAAATCTAATATTATAATCATATTAGTCAATTATATTAGTCGGTCTAAAAACAATATTATTATAGATTTAGGAGTTATAGAGCACTACTACCCAAATAAAAATTGATTTATAAATTATATAGAATATAAAGTCCCAAAATATACTAATATAGCTAATGGAGAATTTATATTAATATTAGAATATAAGAATATTCCTATTATTATAAATAATAAAAAGATATTCATTTGAATAATAAAGCATATACC